TTTTTTCTCTTTTCATGCAATGAATTCGCTTGTGCGACCTATTAATTATTTGTTGTAACTGTGCTCATCAAATTCACCTCTGTAAACTCTCCTGTTTTCAGTCAACCCTAGCTCTCAAATGAAGGTTCCAATGAGGACGGACCACACTCCACCTGTTCTGCCTAATAATAAGTATGAGAATACTCTCAGGTTAGTCTTGTTCCTACTTTCCTCAACCAATTTTCATTCTAATTTCTTTTCATTGTTCTGACATCTTTGATGTTTTTATTTATAGATATGATCAAACCAGGAACGTTCCCACTTATCCAGTAAAAACAGCAGATCCATCCACATGTACTCAATATGCTCCTGTGAGAACACTAATTAGGTAAAACAATTATATTTTGCGAGAACTACATGCTATTACTCTTACATCCTTAAGCTATATAGTTGTTTTTAGTTCTTCCATCAAATCAAATGGGAGCTCCTCTAGTCGTCGTACCTCATCCCGTAGCGCACAGAAAAAGGAAGCAATAGATCCAAAAAGAGTAGAAGATGAAGTTGCTAGGTAAGTTGTTAATTCATAACTTCGTGTTTGGGAAATTCCCTCATATGCTGATGCAAAGATATGCTTCTATCCCTGTTGGAAGATGTACTAATCCATTTGCAAACATTTTTTTGTGCCATATTTCCCGATAGATTTGAAAAGCACCATCTTCTTAGTTTTTCTTCCTTATTTTCAAGAAAACGTTTTGTTTTTCACTCCACTCCACTTTCCCTTGTGTAATTCAATCTTTACCAGATGTCAATGACACTTATTTGCATCCGGTGCTTCTAAAATTGCGACTTAACTACTATTCTTAGACAAAATAAAGTTGGTATATCATTTTAGAAATGTTTCCCAAATCCTGTCCGCCACAAAACAACAGCGTCTTGCCATGGAAGCACAACAAAGAAATGGAACAGCTGCGCCACAACCGCCGCGGATAGCCTATGCATGTCCGGATTGTCATAAAACCGTCACCAGTGCTAGAAATTTGCAGGTGAATTCGGCATTTTCTCATAGGGTTTATGTACTCGTTCAACTGATCAACATTTAGCGCCATCGTCAAACATGCACCGCTAGAGTAAATGGTGGCAGTGGTACGGGAATACCTTCATCCTCCTCAGTATCCTCGTCTTCTGTTGGGATATGTCCAACGTCTACCTCGGTGATGATATCGCCAACATCTTCTTATTCTAATCTCTCATATAACAATTATAATATTGTTAGTTTATTGTTTTTTTCCTTTTACCAGTATAATTTTTTTTT